TTTTTTTTTTTTTTTTTTTTTTTTTTTTTTTTTTTTGAAACATGTTTTAGGCTTATTTAATAAATGAGTTTGATGATCAAATGTAAATTAGTTCACAAGTTATACGAACAATCTTTAACAAACATGAACTAACTCATGAATTTTGTCGTTTTTATACATTATATATATATATGGACAAGGCATCACAAAATTTGACTATATAAACTTCTCTACCAAAATTACCACTATGAATTTTCTCCACATTTCTTATTTTCTCCATAGGGAGGAGCAGGGGCTGAGTGGCAAAAGACATCAAGTTCTGAAGAAGATGAAGAGCACAGCGTTAGGCCCAATCATGTGGTGACGACGTTTGACAGAATGTTAAGAGAGGAATCGAACCAGATAGGGTGACTTTGAACACTGCCATTGTAAGGAAGCAGGCACATAGTAGCAGTAGATATGTTTAAGGCAACTGAGAAGCGAGGGTGCTTGCCTTACCATACAGCTTATAACATCATGATCAATAGTTACAGAGATCAGGAAGATGGGATGATATGATATGGCATGAAACCATCATCAACAATGTACAATGCACAAAGCGTAGTTAATAGTATCCGTGAGAGATCCTTAAAAAGAATCATCATTCAATGATTCTGATAGTTTTCTTGACTCTTTTATGCCGGAGCAAGTGGTGACATTAGAAGGATTAACGCTAATTTTATTGGCTCTCAGTTCCCTCATGAAAGCTCTCTTTCGTGTTGATAAGTTTCAAAAGGTATGAATCTTGTCTCTTGTTTCATAAGGGAATACATGGCAGGCTGCAAACCAGATAGAAAAGCTAAATCCATGCTAAGCTCTGCTCTAAGATACATGAACCAGCCGTTAAGAGAGCATCATAGAAAAAACATAGAAGAACAATGCTAATGTTTCACAAGCTCAGGTCATAGATGTAATGATAAAGACCACACATCACAAGAGGAAAGGGTTTCCTCACATTCTCTCTCTCTCTCTAAAGATTGAAACTGTACAAATATTATATCTTTTGCAGATCAAATTAGTTAGGATTAAGCTGAAAATTCTAAACCGAATCTCATATAATCAAATCTCAAATCCAAAGAATTATCATGTGACACACCATTCCTAAAACTGCAGCACATAAATTAGGAATACAAGTTTTGCAAACCAACAAAAAATTAACTAACTTACAAGGGTTAACTGGGTGATGAGAGACTTTCCTCCAATAATTTTCATTGCATGACAGGTATGGGGTTTCTACTATACTTGCTCTTGGCAATTCTAGAACAGAACATGAACATCAGAAGTACCGAGGACAGTAAGAAGAGCCTGAAGTAAGTTTTAATCTCCTGCATTCCGACATCGATCACTTCCCTATTCTTCCCATATCTGTTCTTCCTTTCCAACAAATAACCGTCCAAATACTCATCTATGGACACCCATTTCTCTGCAGCCTTGGTGCTGTTTTGGTCTAACTGAAACGGTGCCAGTTTGAAAATTGTGAAGAAGGCAGCAGACCAGTCGTTGAGAAGTCTCTGAGTAACAGCAGCATGCAAATAACATCAATATTGGGAATTAAAGAATCATGTTACAATTGAAAACAATAGTACCTTGAAACTGGGTAGATCAACAGGGTTGAACATTTTAAAGCAATCTCTTGAAGAAGTCTGGTTGTCCCCATATATCTGTTAGCGATAGTAACGGTTATTAAACAGGTTTCCATGAAAGTGTCTGAGAGCAGAGATATATTCTGGCATATACAAACCTCAAAGGTGAAAGCCATTGGTGTCCTTACAACATCATAGATATAATCTGTAGCTGTACCATGTGCCAGGTACCTAGAGTCAAGAACCAGCCATTCTGAGTGGGATATCATAAAACCAAATATTCATCAGAGCTTAAGGAAGAGACAAACCCAACAGAGCCTCCTCCAGATCCAATCATGCATCGGTTCTGGCAATGAAGTTTATTCACTTGTTCTAGTAAGGACCTCATCTTCTGAGATGGCAATCCTTCGGGGGTTACGTTTTTGTGGTCATATGGCATAAATAGAGCCTGAAAAGACATGAGAGATCAAACTCAGACCAAGAGATTTTTGTTATACTGTTTACTCATACATATCCAGTAAACACTGAACACCCACCTCCATTCCAGAATGCACGTTTATCCAGATGTGAGGATCAAATGAGATAGCTAGCTTCCGCATTATTTGAGTTTCAGGCTCACTAAACGGACCAGTTCCAGGATTCTCTTCATATGGATCATAGTCCTGGAATAAAAAAAAAGGACCAAAGTTGTTGCATAAAGCATTACTAACAAGGGAATCTTGAAGGAAACGGAATATTGAAGAAAGTACCTTTTCTTTCTTGCCCCAGTCAACGCCCCAATTTCTGTTCAAGTCAACTCCTCTTCCTGTGGTTTACAGATATATATAAATAAAGATGAAATATCTTAACAACCATATATCGAAGAGGAAGAAAAAAAAGATGGTTACCATTTCTGCGGTCACAAAGATCTCCAGCTTCAACAAGTTTACGCCCATTAAAGTTTTCCATTGGAACCAGCTTTTGAAAAAAAAAAAGAAACAGGATCTTGTCAGTTTACTGAATCTATCAAACACTGCAGAATGAGAGAGATTAATACCTTAATGACAAGCTTGTCTAGGGTGTTGTTGAGGGCTGCTCCGTTCTTGTTAGGTAAGAACTGTTCTTCACTAAGAATGGACAAAATCCGAAAGGCAAGTTCAGAGGTGATAAGCTCTCTCCCATGCTGCCCAAAAGTCTGGAAGAAAAATTTATCATCTGTCACCAAAACATTTATTACCCAAAATTATGAAAATAAAACTTCACCTGTAGAAAAGTAAACCTCAGATGAGTACATTTTTGACATTCCTGGAATAGAGAGAACTTACAAGAAGGATTCTAAAGTTTGATCTATCATCACTCTCTTTTCCACTCCGACCATAAGTAACCACGTTGACCTCGGCATTGTATCCCTTGTTTCCAGATTTAATCGTCTCAATCTGTAGAAACAAATGTTTTTTTAGGCATTAAAAAAAAAACACTTTAAGAGGATCAAAAATGACACTAACCGAAAGCTTATCTGGATGGCGATGTACTAAAGCATGTATCTCGTCTATTAAATCATCACTGCAGTGGACATACAGAACGTGAATGATCAAACAACTAAAAATTGAGTATAGCCAAACACTTGATAGAAGCAAACCAAAATACTAATAGCAGATTTACTTAGTATATATATAATAGCCAAATGAAACATTGATCTATTACCCCCAAAAATTTTGAAAAATATTACACTGATATTAGTTACAAATTTGTAAAATAAGAATTATTAAAAGTTTCACTACTTCGTCTACAAGTCCCCAAAATCTCAGGCCGGCCCAGGAGCGGTTTAGGACAAATCCTGAACTGTGTTTTGTTCTTGATGATGATTACTGAGTAATACAAGGGCCTGTGATTCTTAATTATATGACCTAAAACCAAATCTATTGCAAAACCTAACTAACTAGAAAAAAATAACCAAAATTCACCTGGAGTGGTAGAGATCCCAGTTGATTGGAGTAACGGAAGGGTTAGTTCCGGCGAGAACGAGCAATAAGAAAGGTTGGAGGAAGGATAAGATGAAGTAACATATTAGATGAGGTGGTTGCAGACGCATGGCCGGTTCGGGAGAGAGTATGAATCGGTGGGAAGAAACTAACCAGTTTTTGCTTCGTTCATGTCATCTCATCTCATCGTGTGTGTGTATGAAACAAAGAAACACAGAAATGGATCTAAATCGGTCGGGAGATGTCAGAGATCTGCTTCTTCTGTTATCTCTTTTGCCTTTTTTTTTTAATCTTTACTTTTCTTCGCCAATCAAACGATCATAAAAAAACTTGGACTTCTCTATGTGAAATGGCACAATCCGTTTCGCAACATCGTTTTTTAAAGTAAAGTATTACACACATTCTTTCTTTTTTGTTAACCGGCTCTTAAAATCATTTATCCCTTTGATAAATAGTAATATTTGCTCAGAAAAAAAAAACTATAATGTGAAATTTAATTAAACAAAGTTATAACTATTTAATAAAGACACTAGGTGATTTTCCCGTGTTCATGCACAGACATGTATATTTATAAAATAAATATACAATAATAATTAATTGATATTTACTTTATTTTAAAATTAATTTATAGTTTGTATGTCTAATTTATATTATAATATTATATTACTTTAACTATATAAATAATTTTAGATATGTTATATTTAGTCTGTTTTATTGTTTTTACGGTCGATTTAGTTATCATTTAGATATATTGGATTCTATCTATTTCTCTGAATTCAACTATAATCTTTTATATTTTAAATATATTAAATTTTTGATTAATTGTCTTATTTGCATTTATGCTGGTTGTTATTTTAGAAATATAATTATATTTAGTAAGATTATATATACTTAAGATTTTTTTATGCTTAGAAGGAAAAATAAATAAAAACTAAAGTGTCTGATTCTAAATTACATACATAAGTAAATAATGATTTTTTAGAAGCTTTTGAACTCATATCAATATTTACAATAATTAAAATATTTTATAAATTCTAAATAAATTTATGCTTTAGATAGATTGGATGGTAAACTGAAATTTATTTTAAATAATTTTAAAAATAAGGATTCTGATTTGCTTAAGTATTTTGACTATGGTTATATTAAGTTTCACAAACATAAGAACAGAAAATTAATAATCAAAATATTTATTAAGAAAACATATAATTTTAACTATTAAAATATAATATATCTACCTCGTTAAATTACATAGTGTTATGGTATTTTAAAATAATTGTAGTTATTTTTTGTTTTTATGTTTGTGAAACTTAATATAACCATAATCAATATACTTAAGTAAATGAGAATCCTTATTCTTAAAACAGATAATTTTAACTATTAAAATATAATATATCTACCTCGTTAAATTATATAGTGTTATGATATTTTAAAATAATTGTAGTTACTTGATCAAAAGATGTTTATTATTAAATTTATTTTTAGTTTTATTTTTAGCATCTCTTAAAATATTCAGTAAAAAGTGATTGTTTTTGAGAAATTATACTATATAAGTAAAATAAAATTTATTTTTTTACTGTAATTGTAAGATATTATAGTCAAACAAATTTACTAAGAAAATAATTTCAATAATACTAATTATAAAAAAATATCAATTAAACATATATCAGTTTATTTTAGTTGATTATTTTATGTAATCATCTAATAAAATAGATAGATATATACAAAAATAATTATTTTGAAAATAAATAAATTTTATTGTTTAATATTATATTTTTTAAAGAAAAAATATTTCTTTTTCTAATATTAATTTTTTTTTGTGTGAATTTTTTTTATGAAATCACACTATATACATATATTGTTTTTTTATCTAAGAAGATATAGATATAAAGTATTTTATTACTTCAAAGGTATATTTTCTGTTATTTAAAATATATTTAAATTAAATATTACTATTTTGTGAACTTTCCTTTTTTTTATTAAAACATATTATATATACTTATATTTTCGTTTTTAAATAGTTTTGTAAATTTTATAAATGTTTCCTTTCTATTTTAAATTGTTATTTGGAAATTTTTAAAAAAGAAATAATATTTAGTTGTATTTTAATTCATTAAGGGTATCATAGTAATCAACCAACGTGAGAGTTAACGTGAGCGCAACACCTAAGAAAGTGACTTCTCAAATAATATTATAGAGATATCGACAAATCTACTTACGGACTCCAGCTACAAACTCCTACTCACAAACATAAAGACATTATGCTCATGAGGAATATCAACAAATCTACCCTTTAGATCGGCCTTAACGCATTCTAGACCAACTTTTGTTGATTACAAGGTCATGTGTCCGTAAGGCCACGCACGCCAACTTATGCCACCATAAAGCAAAGTTTGCATACCTTCGCAATATCAAATCCCGGACAATGAATCCATTCAGATCATCCAATCACATAGGCTCTACGCGAAATTATCTAAAAGACGTTAGTATCCCATATAGTGTGATACACCTTTGCGATAAAGCATCTTCCGTATGGTTCTCGAATGGTTCATGCCATGACGATCAAGGTAACCTCCAAGAAGCGACATCATGCTCCTTAAGCCACCCACAATCTTGTTGTTAAGGCACGATTCTGTTCGATCAAAAAGCATAAGTTATGTCCTGATTTCAAATATGACCACGAAAGATAAAAGAAAATTTATTGGGTATATTTAATCCATGAAGCGAATCCTCTTGCCTAAAGGACACTGGCATTTTCTCTAGCCAAATGTCTTCCGGCCTTCAGGCCATGTTTTCTTTTTGCCTTCTCATAAAATAAAAACTTTTACATAAAGGAAGATATTTTCATATTTCATAATATGAAAAACCTAACTTAGATTTCGACCATAACCACCTATAAAAAGGATTCATGAATTTTAAGGCGAATCGTCCACTATTCACTTTCGACATACAAACACACTGCTAGAACTAGAGTTGATAGACCATTACGTTGTACTCATGCTCTATTAATCTATTAAAAAGATACTTTTGATCTTTTCTTCATGCTTTATTTTCAGTTTATGTAGTATCACAAAGAACTCTGTTTAATTTTATTCTAACAATAAAAATAAAAAGAATAAAAATATATTTACGATAATAATTTTCAGATTTCTTCAAACTCAGACCAATGAAAATACATAAAAAGTGAATTTCATGAATTTTTTTTATTTTTCAGTCACAACTCTATATTTTTGATAGAAAACTAAACTAAAGATTAATACATAATCATAATATATATTAAAATAGTTACTTAACTAAAATATATCTAACCAAAATAAAAAATAGTAAATTTTATAATATAACTTCAAAATACATAATATAATAAAATACAAAATTTTAAGATTACATAATAAAATTAACACAAAATAGGAAAACTATTAACAATATTTCTTTTTGATATTTTATCAAACCAGTATGAACACAAAATAAAAAACAATGATTATAAGGATTTTTTTTTTCCTTTGAATCACTATACCCAGATCAACTGAATAACAAGATGTTGATATAAAACTACAACTAAGAATTAATAAATAATCAAATAAAAAATTTAAAAACATTGTTAGACAAACAAAATATAACATGATATATAAATAAAACAATAAACATAAGAATAGAAAAACGAAAAGAAAAATTAGGATTTTAAAAAAATATCTTAGGTTATCGTATCTAACTAATTTTATAAGTTATTGAAAGGTTATGTCATATATTTCAAAATACTTTTATCATATATATAGTAGTGATATACAAAAAAAAATTATAGTTGAATAAGCCGAACAAAAACATAGTATAAAATCATTTGACGAAAAACATATAAGAGCATAAATAAAACTAAATTATCTGAAATAAAGCAAAAAAATAAAAAGCATACAATGCCAAAATAAAACAGTATATAGCTCCACTAAAACAATCTCAATAATTGTAATAGAAATTTATTTAATCAATACGACACTTCACCTGAACCAAAAAGAAAGAGAATTTATAGAAATAACATCCCCTGCATAATATAATAGAATCTCTATAAATTAATAATTTTGAAATTTTAAATTTTATTAATTTATAGAGATTTTAATTTACACAAATTTTCTTATTTAGATTTCTTATTTTAAGATGTATTTATTCTAAAATAAAAAAATTATTTTTGACTTTTATATTAATTGGTGTACATCATATATAACCTAAAATTTAAATGTGGTTTTAGATATAATATTATTAAATCTCATCAAAAATATATTAAGTATTAAAAAAATATAAAGATTATTTTATTGTGAATATAAAATAAACAATATAATGATAAGTTCTTACTTATATAAAATATATATACATATAAATTATAATTTAAAATTTAAAATAGTTATTATGTTATTATTTTAGTGATTTGTATCAAATTTTGAATCGGTTCAAGTTAAGATCATCAAAATTTACTAATTTATAGAGATTATTAATTTATCGAGTATTAATTTATAAAGGTTCTACTGTATATAACTATACTTTTCAAAGTGAAAACAAAATTTTATAAAGTTTAATAAAAATAGTTTTTCAGCACACATACAATCCTTAATTAATACTCCCTCCGGATTTAATTATATGATGTTCAAGGTAATTCACAGATATTAAGAAAAATTAAATGTTTATTTTTATCTATTACTTTTTGTTTCATTTTCAATAAATTAAAAGTTTTATTTGGTTCCCTATACAATTCAACCACTTAGCTTTTTATATTTTTATTTTACTTTATTTTTAAAATTAAATTGCATTAATTAAAAGGTAGAACATCATACATTTATATACAAGTAAGAAAACTAAAACATCTTATATTTGTATACGGAGGGAGTAATACATATGAATGTAAATATATTATTACAAGGCTTATGCCCAACACGTTACCGTAACTCTTAAGCTATTTTAAATACTATGGTTTTCAGTAATTAAATATGGGTTTGGTGTTCGGTAAACATATATAAAATATTCGAGTTTTCTTAAAAAATACATTTTAGTAAAAAAAAATCGAGTTTGTCCTTTTTGTTTTATTTCTGAAAATGATGATACATACATTCAAAACGGCAATAAATTTGATAGCAGCTCACCAGAGCAGCGAAAAGGTCAATGATGACATTGTTTTGTTGTTATAAACTAAAGTCTACATAATAATAAATGAATTTAGTCAAATAAAGGTGCAACACCAATAATTTTTGCTGAGAGAGAGACAACTTTCAGGTCAATCAAACTCACCATTTCTTGAAACACACAAAAGAGATTCTACAGAACCTAAAACAACAAGAACCCATCTCCAATGATCCTACTTCTCATGTAAAATAATAAAAACCCAACAAAAACAGACAAGTCTCCAATGAGATCGGTGTTTCTGTTTTTCTTGTTCTTTTGTCTCCATCTTCTCTTTGTCTCGGTCTCATCTGCCCCTTCCACAGAATTTGTCTATCCAAATTTCAGCGCCTCTTACCTCAGATTCGTCGACAGCTCCAATGGAGCTTTCCTCTTCTCCCGCAACTCCATCTTCAAAGCCGGTTTATTCAGTCCCGGAGACGATCCTTCCTCCGGTTACTACTTCTCAGTCATCCACGTGGATTCCGATTCCACAATCTGGTCATCAAACCGTGACTCCCCCGTTTCAAGTTCAGGGAAAATGAACCTCACACCTCAAGGAATCACCGTTATCGAAGATGGTACAGGCCAAGAACCGGTTTGGTCAACGCCGGTTTTAGCCTCTCCGGTTTACTCCCTTCGGTTAACAGACTCGGGAAACCTCCTTCTCCTTGATCACTCCAACGCTTCTCTTTGGGAAAGCTTTAACTTCCCAACGGACACCATCGTCCTCGGACAAAGACTCTCTCTTGGGATGTTCTTGTCGGGATCCGTGTCACGGACCAATCTGTCCAGGGGAGATTATAGATTCGTCGTCGTTGAAACCGGTGGGTTTATGAAGTGGAGAGGACAGAATTACTGGAAGCTGAGAATGCATACACAAGCTAACGTCGATTCGAATTTTCCCGTTGAGTTTCTAACGGTAACTACTTCTGGATTGGTTCTGATGGGAAGAAACGGGACGACGGCGGTAATCCGCGTCCCCTTACCGCCGTCGTCCGATTTTCGAGTTGCGAAGATGGATGTGTCTGGTAAATTAATCGTTAGTAGATTCTCTGGTAAGGATATGGTCACGGAGATCTCTGGTCCTATGGATCCGTGTCAAGTTCCGTTTGTGTGCGGTAAGCTCGGTGTTTGCCATCTTGATAACGATTCGGAGAACAAAAGCAGCTGTTCATGTGTGGATGGGATGCAGTTAGATGCGGATAAGAAGACTTGTGTCCCAGTTAGCCAGTCATTGAGTTTACCTGTTTCTTGCGAAGGAAGCAACAATATTTCGTATTTCGAACTAGGTCATGGTTTATCTTACTTCTCAACTAGATTTGTAGATCCCGTGGAACACGGGATCGAATTATCGACGTGTCACGATCTATGCAGTAAGAATTGCTCGTGCCTCGGTGTTTTCTATGAGAGCACGTCTCGGTCTTGTTATTTGGTGAAGGATTCGTTTGGGTCTGTGTATCAAGTAAAGAACTCAAAAGACAATCATGATCTTATCGGATACGTTAAGGTGTCGATAAAAAAGGCAAATGCTCAACAACCTCGTGGAGTTAAAAAAAGTTTCCCTTTGATAGCACTTGTGCTGTTACCATGCTCTGGTTTCTTCCTTGTGGTCGCATTAGGGTTTCTCTGGTGGAGAAGATGCGCGGTAATGAGATACAGCAACATCCGTGAGAAGCAAGCAACTAGAAGAAGATTAGGAGGCTCTTTCGGATCAGGAGACCTAGGATCATTCCACATCCCGGGTTTACCTCAGAAATTCGAATTCGAAGAGCTCGAACGAGCCACCGAGAATTTCAAGCTCCAGATAGGATCAGGCGGGTTCGGCGCAGTTTACAAAGGAACTCTCCAGGACCAAACCCTAGTCGCTGTCAAAAAAATAACAAACCATGGCCTTCACGGTAGACAAGAGTTCTGCACGGAGATAGCCGTAATCGGTAATATCCGACACGCGAATCTAGTGAAACTCCGAGGCTTCTGTGCGCGCGGTAGGCAGTTACTGTTGGTCTACGAGTACATGAACCACGGGTCGTTAGAAAAGACTTTGTTCGAAAGGAACGGTCCTGTGCTTGAGTGGCAAGAAAGGTTTGATATAGCGCTTGGAACGGCGCGTGGGCTAGCGTATCTGCACAGTGGATGTGAGCAAAAGATCATACACTGCGACGTGAAACCCGAAAACATTTTATTACACGACAATTTCCAGCCGAAGATATCTGATTTCGGGTTGTCAAAGCTTTTAAGCCAAGAGGAGTCGAGTTTGTTCACTACAATGAGAGGCACACGTGGCTACTTAGCTCCCGAGTGGATTACAAACACTGCTATATCCGAGAAAGCTGATGTTTACAGCTACGGGATGGTGTTGTTAGAGCTAGTGAGTGGTCGGAAAAACTGCTTGTTCCGTTCAAGGAGTAACAGCGCAGTGGAGGAGAATCATCAAAACAACAACAACAACAATAACAACTCTTCCACAACGACTAGTTCAAGTTCTGGTTTGGTTTATTTTCCGTTGTACGCTTTGGACATGCATGAGCAAGGGAGTTACATGGAGCTAGCGGACCCGAGGCTAGAGGGTCGGGTCACGAGCCAAGAGGTTGCGAAGTTGGTGAGGATAGCTTTGTGTTGTGTTCACGAGGAGCCGGCTCTGAGGCCGACGATGGCGGCGGTTGTTGGTATGTTCGAAGGGAGTATACCGGTGGGGAATCCGAGGATGGAGTCGTTGAACTTCTTGAGGTTTTATGGGTTGAGATTTGCTGAGTCTTCTATGGTTGAAGGGGGAAATGGGGAGAGTGATAATATGGGTTTTAACCGGAGAGAGAGCTCTAATAGTGGCGGGTCTAGGTACTCTGCATCTTACGTGGCATCACAGGAGGTGTCGGGTCCACGGTGAGGGATTTGTCTAAATGTGAATCACTTTCTTTTTGTTTTTCCATTTTGTTTTATTTATTTGTTGGTTATACTTTGTTAATAGGCCTTGTTCATAATATGATAACTGGATACATTTTGACATAGAGATTACAAACAAGTGTTTCTTCTTCTTTATGTTTTAACTAATTATGCTGTCTTCAGTACCGTATATCTCCTCTTAATGTGTATAATATACTTGTTTTCTTGTATTCATCATGCTCTGTATATAAAACCAGAGATACACTCATCAATAATATCATCAATTTCCTTCATCCAATATGTTATAAAGAGCCGCACAGCTTCTAAACCAGATACACAATGCCTTTGCCCTCTCCTCTTGTTTTCTGGCTGCCTCAACCGACTTATGCACAAGGCTAGTTTACCCTTTTTAACACCCTTGCAGCTAATCAAATCTTGAATAGTGAACAGTGTAGAAAGTTAGACACAATTGCCAGTTATGGAGCACAACTAAAGTGTTCAATGATGGGAAATATCAAATTGAATAGGTCCTGCAGAGACCAGATAAATTACCGTTGATTATCTCCAGCTTAGAAAACTATCCCAAACCCTAATTTTTCATACAAAGTGAGGGGTGGGAGGATCTTAGCAAGTAAACAGAGAATCTTTAAACAAATAAACTCAACAACTGAGTGGAGCCAAATTTTGACAAGTAACTTTATGGCCCATGCTTATCTTGTACCCGGCCTTCCAAATCACGCCTTAGCAACTCCGCGTATTCCTGCAAAATCCCCAATAACAAGTTAGTTAAGGGGACATGTATCTTATATAGTACAACAAGTAAACTAGTAGTCTCTTTAATGCTTACATGAGCAAGAGCTTCATCACTGCAGAGCACGTCTGCAAGGTCTTCTTGACTCATCGCAGCATTTTCAACCATTGCACGGAAGACATCTTCTGGTGGATCAGAGTGCTCAATCATTTGCATCATGGGTTGAACATTTGCCTAAGTGGACAAAAGCAAAATACATTTACAAGGGATAGATCAAGACACAATTGCTGTTTCTTGAGGTTATTGTGTGCCTAACTGATTCAATCAAAATGGTAGACTTTGATTGGGTAAGAATACTGGTGTTATTTTTTTCTATAAAACCTAATCTGAATCGAAACTTGACATTCTTCAAACAGATAGTCGGATTAAATAGATGTATTACCTGTAAAGGTTGGTGATCATCAGCCTGTTGTAATGCCGGTGCAAATGATGGTCCTCCTCCTTGGCTAAAAGCACGTGAGACTAGAGGCATCATTTGCTGGACCATTCTAGAGAGATCAAAGCCACCTCCCTCGCTATTACCTCCGCTTGACATCATATTCTCTATCTCTTGACCATCCACTTGTTGAGCAATTTGCTGGACTGTGTTCATGATCTGTGGGTTCTGGGTAAACTGCTGCAACATATTTCTCAGCATATTTGGTGAATCAACACCAGCTTGTCGAGATACTCCTGCTAGCAACCCATCCAAAACAGGGCTCTCCATGACTTGAGACATTGCATTTGAGACATCTACACGATCATCTGAACCTCCCCCACGTCTCATATCTGTCTCATTGGAGCGTGAACTACCAGAAAAGAGAGATTGCAAAAGCTGTTGACCACTGGTCCCACTGCTCTGTTGCACACCTTCAGCCGAAGCAGAAGTCCCACCATCTTCATTCTTACCTACTGTCTTAAGCTGCTTGCTTCGTTTCTTTTAATCAAAACAAAAAAACCATAGAATGACTGTAAGCATTTGGAACCAAAAAACCACCAACATTTTCTAGTCAATGACAACAAAAAGCGACAGCTACCTATCACTTTCCAACTCGTTCATTACCTTACGGTCTAAACCCCCAAGCCCTAATCCAAGTGGGGTCACGACTTCTGGAGTAGCCTTCTTAGTTAAATTGGTATCACCGGTAGTATCTTCACAATGTTCTTTACCGCGTTCACCCTGGTTGAAAAACTGTAGATTAGTGATGGGCAGAGATGTCAAGAACAGGAAATAAAGAATAATCGGATTGCAAAAAAGACGAACACTCGAGTTACTCCTCTCAGATGGTAAGACAGGTAATGAGCTACTTTCCTCAGGTGTGGAAGTAGCCACAGTGTTGGTAGCCTGCTCAGTCATAGCACTAGAAACACCAGACTGAATCTCAGTAGACACATTCTGCCCGGTACGATGTGATGGAGCAGAAGCAGCAATGATGTTTCTCGTTAGAAATACGGGTACTGAACTTGTATTGCTGTTATGTTCCCCTTGCTGTCCACTACTTTGATGGTTTCCAACTGACGACATTGTAGGTGAAGCTGATGACCCTGTAATTAAGAATGATCGCTGTTGGAGAAGAATTGTGAATCTCGGTCCAATGGGAAAAAATGTGAACTTCACCCACCAGCATGTATGTGAATGTTAATGTGCCTTGGATGAGTTCCTAAACCACCTTGTCCGGCTACTGGATTTGCTGAGCCAGCGGCACCAGTAAAGAGTGGGCTGATTTGATGCGGGAAAGGCTGCAACAGACAGGAGAAATGTACTTACAAGGATTAAACAGGTTTAGAAAATAAGACGCTTACCTGAACCATAATAGGATTCGGTCCTGACGGAGATATGTATACAGCAGGGCCAGCGTTCACATACGATAATTCCTGTGGATCACACTGCTTGTGAGCCGCAAGTTATGAAAAAGGGAATAATTGCGAAAGGAAATGGCACAAAACGCACCTGAGACTGTGCCATTCTCAATGTCAGAAGTGTACGCCCAAGCTCCAGTAGGAGGGCCCCTAAATGTTGCATAGCAAGACCTGCCTGCACTGCCTCTGACTGGATTTGTGCCCTGACAGCAGGATCTGAAGAGGATCCATCCTGCTCTAGACGTCCTGCAATATGCTACAACAATATTGTTGCAAATCCCAAACAGCACATAAGTACATGACATGCCCGATAATGAAAGCCAGAACAATGGCATTTAATCTACGGAGAAAGATTGGAACCAATTAAAAAGCTGTCTAAACTCTAAAGAAGGTGTTTACCGATAGCGAAGAGATGGCTGGACCACTTAGTAGACGCTGTGAATTCCTCAGGACAATGGCCAGTGCTTCAGGCGTTGATGGACCGTGTCTATTTCTAGGCAACTCTTCCCTGGGCCGACCTTCTGATGTAGCAGGGGAGGTATCTGGCTGAGTGCCTGGAGGAAAATCTAAAGAACTTGTTGATGTGTTTCTATTCAACATAACAGTAAAAAAATCAGATCAATACCGTTTCGTGATAATGCTTGTTCCATCCGATTAATGAACTCCATGATAGTGTCTAACGAATCCGGGATAGGCTGCATAATTAGAGAGTTTGATCGTCAAATAACAAGATTAAAGCTTTAGACTCCGAGATCAAATTACAAGTTACATGACTATGTACCGTCTGAAATGTAGGAATAGGAATTGCTGTAGCTGCTGTAACAGGAATCTGCACTACATGAGGCATAGATGATCGAAATGTTGCACTAGTAAATGCTGGCCTAGGTACCTCCGGCCCTTGGCTTTGACCACCGGTGGCAGGCGTTCCACCAGATGTATTTCCAGGCGGAGACTGGCCAGACAAATTGGACTAGAGGAAAGAAACAATAAGCTTAGAAACACGAAACTGTGGATGATAATATCAATAACATTAAATGAAACATGACACGCCGGATTGTAACAACACCTGATTCTCAATGGTCATTAATGTAAATAAACTTCCCAGAAGTCTTTCCCACAAAAACTCGATTAAATAATCCAGAAATATAACAAAATGACAGACAAGTCACTCATTAAAACTACATTTTAAGTAGAGAAAAGAGAGAGCAACTCACGGGCATAGACGGCTGCGTGACATTAATACCGTGAGGGTTCTGCCCACCAACACCAAAAGAATTTAGAACTGCTCCAATAACCTAAGTAACACAAAAGCAAAAGCGGGTCAGCATTTAGAACTCATCCGATAACTATAAGTAAAAGCGGATCATCCACTTCTTTCCCAAATTTATCAAATCATCCCGTGTGACAAAAAAATACTCCCCAAGAGACAACTAATATGACAAATGTTTAAGGATTACCCGGCTGATATCTGGAACCATGCCTTCAGTCTGATCTGGAGAATTAAAAGTCCCAAGGACTACGCTGTGGGAGATGTGTCCACGACCTCGAGGTGGACCACCATTTGTACCATTTCCTGTTACTCAAACAATAAGTTGAAATCACTTTTAAGAAACCAGACATACGTTGTGTTGACAGCGCTGTCAACACACATACCAAAAAGGGGATGTGAGTATATTACCATCATTTGCAGTTGCTCCTTCTGAAGGAGTACCAGAAGATGGCATAGGTTCTGCTGGCTGCCTCACGACCAAGTGCAAAGTATGCCCATTTTCCAAATCTAAGATGATGTCAAGTTTAACTATACTGAAAGTAATCAAGTGATGGAAGGAAAAGACCAACATAAACTAAATCTAAGGTAAGCAAAGGTGTATAAATCTGTTTCGTAAAATGATCCCTAAAAATACAAAATCAACCGTCTGAATACAGGTGCAAAAGGTATTAGGTAATACTTCAACACTTATCCATAAAAGAAGCGCCTTTCTTTCACATGCCTATACAAAATCCCCAAGGGATACATTATAGAACAGGTATGCAAAGACTAAGGAAAGATTCTCAACTCATAATGCAAACAACTACACTATAATAAAAATTCTCCAAGAAGGATACGATACTCAGAGAGAGGGTGATCATCTTTTAAAACCCGTCCCCGGAAAATGAGCCTCTGCTGAGCAACAGGAACACCTGTCTCACTAGCTATTTTCCCTTTGAAAACCGAAACTGTTTCCTGAAACAAGCGAAAGCCCACAAATAGCATTAGGCACAACCACACAAAGCTTAAGAACTTATAATGGAAAACAAAAACATGATCATAACATATAAAGAAGATAACTTTCTCACATTCTGGTTAACTTTGAACGTATACGTCCGTGAATCTAACGTCTTGACGTTCAGTTCAAGAGTTGATTCTGGCGTTTTCACCGACGCATTGTTGCTGCTGGAGCCCTGATTAGTGTCTTGATCTCCCATGAAACCCTAATAGTATCTGAAATCACACAAAGTTCCCAACTTTCATCAAAATCAAAACCCAAAAGGACGCTAGCAACACAAAGAAAAAGAAAGATCTAGAACCGTTACCGTTACAAAACATTTAAAATATCTATTAGAACAAGAATCTAACAATACAATACAAACACGAAATCAAACAGACAAGACCTAAAATCCAAGTCAAGAGAAGAGAACCTTAACAAATCTGCAAGTCAGAGAAAAATTGAAGTAGGCGGCCACAAAGGAATTTACCGGTGCGGGAAACTGAGAACAAAAGAGGATCCTTTGGAGACGGAAAGCTGATTTTGAGAAGAATCTAGAGAGATGTTTTATTTTTTTTTTAGCTTGGGGACAAATCTAGAGAGATGTTTAGAATCTAAAATGACGCATTCGGGAATTTAGGGCCAGCCAAGTCTTCGGCCTAATGTGGACTCTTCCTATTAATAACTTTAATGTTGGGCCGGCCCTCTATAATTGTATGTTAACAAAAAAAAAAAAAAAGTCTACCTATAAATAAGGTTTCGTTGTGGAAATACTATGTTCTAATGATAAAAAATTTAAAAGCTTCTGCAGTTAGGTCTGGAGTTCGAATCTCAAGTAATTTATACAGTAAGAGTTCCGGGTTTTGATTTCTGAAAAAAAAAAACAATTTAAGTTATAAAATTAGAAAAAGACTTATCATAGATCTTTAGTATGGCGTAAAGAAAACCGTTAGGAATGGATTTCATCGGACGGTTTAGGATGATATGTGAATTTTTATAAGATAAATAAAATTGTCGACTATAATATCATCTTTGTAAAATTGTCAACTAATATATCGTCTTTGCAATATTTCTTATAGTTTGTAGAAATATAATTAATCAGGCAAACGAAAAAAAGGTTTCATGTTGGTGATGATGACCATTATAAGTGATGAATTTTCACATGATCGCGAGACAAAATTCCCACACAATTTAAAACAAACGAAGTGTTGAGAAAAAAAAATAATAACGAAGAATCTATGTAATGTTTCTCTTTTTCTTAATCCATCCACATCAGCATCCACGTCACAAAATTGAAGCATATATGCACGATATGTGTCCAGGTGACTTAAACTCACCGTTTCATTTAATTTTTACGTAATTAGATTTTATCGTTTAATGTGAGTAATAATCGTTTATATCACACAAAATATCTATTAAATAAATCATTATTATTGTATTATATATTAACTAACTCGCTTCGTCTTCTCTGCAAGCATCAGGTCATTAGTTGTTTTGGACATTGAATTTATAGTTAGTGATGCGTAGCTGTTGACGAATGGATTTAGTAAACAATATTAAAGTTTTCATTAACATCACCAATCCACTCATCCCACAACTTTCCATTCAATGCACCTGTTATCACAATGTTTGTGGATCTCTATCTATAAATAATCACTTTGCTACAATATTTTAGGTAAAAATACGGTTGCATGTTATGGATATTCACAGTATATATATACATTAATGTAATTTAAAAATATGGATCTCGATCTATAAATAATCACTTTGTTACAATATTTTAGGTGAAAATACGGTTGCATGTTACGGAAATATATATACATAATGTAATTAAAAAATATACAATGTAATACAAAATATGAATTTTAAGAATAAATAAGAACGATGTGACAAAAAAAGAATAAATAAGAACGATACATAAAAATGTGTAAATAATTAATTATGAATAGTTTTGCTATAATTTCGAGTAAATTAATGTAATGTTTTAAGAAAAATATATTTTATCATATATAATATTTTCTCACCTAAAATTTTTTAAAAGACAAAACTTATTATCATACACGTCTTTTACAAATGTAAATCTAAATACAATTATCTCATAATTACACAAAAATAATAATTTAGATTATAGTAAAAAGTAGATCCCCTCAGTAAGATGGGCCGACCCTAGTAAATAAATAAACGAAGACGGAATCCTACACACATATGGTTATGGTTATAATTAAAAAAACCAAAAAATAACATCTTCCATAAAAAGATGAGTTTATTCACAGGGTTTGCTTAATCAAGTTTCAGTCAAATTTTCACGGATCACTCTCTTCTCCGAAAGGTGGTGGCCCAGGCTACAATCTACCTCATATGGAAGCAGAGAAACAACTTATACAGTTCAAATCGCTGTATAATATGTTCAGATCCAAATTCAAATAGCTGTAAATATATGTGATTTCTGGATACATATAACTTATACAGTTCAAATCGATTTAGGAACTTAGGATCCGGAAAAAAAAAATTGAAATATCTGAAAACCCAAATTTTATCTGAAATCTGACCAAGAGAAACAAAAACTACCAAAATTTTATTTGGATGCCAAAATTATATTTCTAAAAACTGAAATTTTATCCGAAACCAAAAATTATTACCAAAAAACTTAACTCAACACTTAAAAAATATATGTAATACGGAAAACATATTTGAAATAACGAAATATACCTAATATACTAAAAATATTTTGGGTATTTTAGATGTCTGATTGAGACTCAGATAGAACTTAAACTCGGATAGAGATCTGCAGGTCCAGAAAAATACCCAAATGTTTTTAACACGGACCCAACCGAACTGAACATGTATTATTGAATCGGTTTCGATTCAATTTTTTGAGTCCGAGTAAAATATTGAGGCCCAAAACTCTAAGAGAGAGTTACATAAAAACGTACATACCAAATCTCAAATACACTATTTCATAATTTATATATATATTTTTAAAAAAAATCTTTTGCTTCTATATAATACAACTTTGTAAACTAAATGTATAACAAACCAAAAATCTGTGTATAATTAAAAAAAACTGCACTTTCAAAGCGTGGATAAAAATCTAGATATAATATATATTGCAAAAATTACAAATAACACAAATGCTTAATCAAATTTTACGTACAAAAATTTATTCTTATGCAAGTCAAATATATATTGACATGTCAAAAATATATTTTTCAGTGGATTAATAACGGTCTTGCATATTCTTTTAAAGATATTTTTGCCATATTCGTTTTATTAAATTATATACGAGTAAATGGATCTATCTGTACTACCACAAATCTGACTCAGATATGAAAATACAATGAAAACATTCAATTAAACGAATAACAATAATATAACAACTTTTAAGTAATATATATATAATAATAATAGTTAGAAATTCATTTAATATTTGTCTTTATGCTCAACAAAAAAATATTCGCGCTTCTTAAGCGCGGGTCAAAATCTAGTAGATATAATTATGAAATAAAACTAAAATATAAAACTTATATTTTAACTTTGAATAGAAAATCAATACTTTGATATTAAATATTCATCACGTTGAGTTAGAATTATTATTATTTTTTAAAAGTGAATATAGTAAAAATCAAAAAGTTTTCTTTATAAAAATTTAATTGATTTTTGATAGCAAATTACAAAAATGAAAAAACTGGTTTTTATTCATAGAGTTGGATATGTTTCCAGTTTACGGTTAAATCCGGTCTGACCCACAATTTGATCCGGGGGGGCTGAGGGAAACCAATAACAAGGGCAAACTCGTCCTTTACAAAATTGGATATTTTCTATAGAGAATCAGTTTGTGGTTAACGGCTCTTCTCGAGTCCAAATTGTAAATGTTTTTTTTTCCACTTCTTTTAAGCCTAAATCATTTTTCGATCAGCGTTAACTTGTCCGACTCTGCTTCTTTCGATCAAAAGCAATGGCACTGAGATTGAAGCTTCTCTGTAGCAACGACGGCTTATCGTTCGGTGAGTATTCAAGAGACCAATTTCGTCACACGAACGTTGGATCGCCGTTGATTCCTGCGCGCAGGAGCCGATTCGAGTTTCGTGCGAGAGTTTCGTCGTCTTACTCGTTTTTTCGGAACAGAAAGAAAACTAGGGATCTTGATAAGAATCTCGTTAGCGAAGAAGAAGACGAAGACGCAGATGATGATGATGATTGGAATCTCGACGGAGATGATGATGATGATGATGAGTTAGAGAACAATGATTTATCTTGCTTCAGAGGCTTGGTTCTTGATATTTCATACAGGTTATACTGATTGCTGACACATTCAATAGTATGTTCAATGGTTTGATGTATGTTTTGAGTTTATGATTCAGTGATTCATTCTTTGGAAAGTCATCTCTCATTATGATTTATAAGTGTGATTTTTTTTTTTTTGATAAAAGAAACAGATATATAACTCTGATTAGTGCTCAATTTCTGTAAGGAGTTTGGTAGTATTGGTTACACATGTTTTTCTCTTCTTGTGTTTATCACAGTAACTACTATCACTTCAGTTTTGAGTTCCACTATGTACTCACTGATCTTAGGATACATATGTAGAAATGATGGCAGATCTTTTTTTTGGTGTTAACAATAATTAATCAATGGACGTTTTTTTTATTTTTGGCTACTTGGTCAAAATGTTTTTCAATAAGTGCTCATTTTGTGTCTTGAATTTGGTAGTATTGTGTAGACAAGGCTAAGATTTGTTGCTTGAGTCAATTTTAAGCGTTAATCCGTTTTTGCTTGCCTATTCACTATAGGCCGGTAAATGTTGTTTGCTGGAAGCGAGCAATCTGTCTGGAATACATGGATAAGGTCAGGCAAAATAGCTGTAAACCCATTTTTTGATATATATATATATATATATATATATATATATATATATATATATATATATATATATTGTGTTGAAAACCTTCATTCAGGTTTTTTTTTGTGTACATTCTAGGCCGATGTTCTGGAGTATTATGATCAGACTGTTAATTCTCCTACTGGTTCATTCTACATTCCTGCTGTATTAAGGGTATATATAGAACTTGAATTTAGTTTAACTAGTTTCATCTTTTGTTTACCAATTCTGAAGCTTACTTCTTGTTTTGCTTCAGGTTCCACATCTGCTTCAGGTTGTTAAAAGAAGAAGAGTTAAAAATTCACTGAGTCGTAAAAACATTTTACTACGAGACGACTACACTTGTCAGTGAGTCATTTCCTATGAAACTAATTTTGAGCTGAAACATAGTGTATTCTTCTTATTGACAAAACTTTTGTTATTTGGGATGTATAGATATTGTTCTTCCCGTGAAAACTTGACCATTGATCATGTTATCCCCATTTCTCGAGGTGGAGAATGGACTTGGCAAAACCTGGTATGTGATTGATATTGAGTTAGGCAAAACATCATTACAATTGTATATTTAACTTGTTTCATTAACATAGGTAGCTGCATGTTCAAGATGCAACTCAAAGAAAGGTCATAAGACAGTAGAAGAAGCACGCATGAAGTTACTCAAGACTCCAAAGGTATTTCTCAAAGTGCAACGGCTTAAGTTAAACCAGTTTTGCCTCAAAATCTTGAAACAAAAGATTTTTTGTTCTGTTGTTAACCGCAGGAACCAAAAGACTATGACATTGTTGCCATACCATTAACAAATGCAGCTATAAGGATGCTGAGATCGAGTAAAGGAATGCCAGAAGAATGGCGTGAGTATCTAGCTAAACCCTCACACGAGCCATAGCAGTTTCACTCCAATCTGGGGGTAATCTCGTAAATACAGAAAGCAGTGGCTCGGTTGCATTTGTAAATTCATCTAATGTAGCTTCAAATGTTCAGATGTATATGATACGTAAATAATGACCTCATGTTCAAGCATAAACTAATATAAGTCAACTATATATTCATCCATAAGTTGAAAGGTATTTGATTTATCCCATTACAATGCTCTATGCCTTTAATGGTAGTTTTTCTGTATATTCAATGTTCCAACTTTTTACAAGTTGGATCACCGAAAAGAACTTAAAATGGAACAAGACCAAAGCAAAGCCTCAACAAGGGACCACCAGCCTAAAGCACCGGCCAAGCCATTCTTCCCTGGACTTATGCAAAACGTTTTTTTTTTTTTTGAAATGGCTTTCTATTAAATGAAATGCAGGAAAGAAACACTGCAAACCCACCCGCAGTGTTAAAGTTTTTGGACTTTCAAAGGTCATATTATTACGTAAACTCAAAAGATAAGATATTAAAGAACACTAGAGTTTCTAAGTGAAAAGCTCCAAATTTTATTTATTTATTCAAAGAATATTTTATTTTAAAAATCTCCCTAATCTGTTGCTGCTCCTCTTGAGACGAATCGGTCCATGGCTAATGTTTCTGGCAACGCTGCTGAAATCTTGCGGAATAGTGGCTACAAGTTTCCAGAAAATCCAAAAAAAAAACTCTTCAGAGAAAATCTTAAGATCGTTAAGAGCATCTCTAATGTTATACTCATTTTTTCCTCCAAAATAGAGTAAAAGTGAATATATAGTAGAATTGCTTTATCCATACTTCATATCCAACTCTGTAATGGAGTAATGAACAAAAAAAAAATAGATTACTTCATTTATGGAGTAAACTTTATTATAGAGTGGAAAATGGAATTGGATTGGAGTGTTTTCTACTCCATATTTTTTTTACTCTATTTTGGAATAAAAATTTGAGTTGGGTTGAAGATGCCCTAAACAATCATGAGGATAGATAGTTGGTTCTTCCCACCTTGATGTTAGAGCATGTCCATCCATAGACACCCCTTATGGGTGCTTTAGATTAGTTTAAGAATAAAAATGGGCTTTTGAAACTTTAAGAACCTTTGTTAATGCTAATTAAATTTTTGACCTCCAATGGGAGAACCCCTATGGGGTTCTTATTTTTATTTTTTTATTTTTATAAATAGAATGATTTATAAAAACATACATAAAAGTTTTAATAAAAAGGACATAAAAGTTTTAATAAAAACGACATAAAAGCATATTAGAAATACAAATACAAATCGTGAAAGAGAAAAAGCCGATTAGCTGAAATCTTGATTTGTTCCAAATTTTTGCCATATATGCTCCACCAAATCAGCTTTCAATTGTTGATGTATTGTTTTATCACGAACTTGACTCCGAATGCTCATCACATTGCCAAGATTTGAAGGTATATCTGTTGAATACGAGAAATCCACTTCAGAACTTCGGTTTGATTCCGGTTGTGCGAAAACTGATACATCAAACTGAGTGTATTCATCTCGTTCGTCTTCAACGATCATATTATGTAGAATGATACATGCTCTCATTATCTTTCCAATTTTTATTTTATCCCACAAAAGAGCTGGATTTTTCACTATGGCAAATCGAGCTTGCAAGACCCCAAAAGCACGCTCGACATCTTTACGTACAGCTTCTTGTTGTGTAGTGAATAGGGATGCCTTCGGATCTTGCGGAAGTGGAATAGACTTGACAAAAGTAGCCCATTTTGGATAAATACCATCTGTGAGATAGTAAGCCAACTGGTACTGGTTTCCGTTGACAGTGTAATTAACTTTTGGAGCTCGACCATGTAATATATCATCAAAAACTGGTGATCGTTCAAGAACATTGATATCGTTTAATGTACCTGGAGGTCCGAAAAACGCGTGCCATATCCAGAGATCTTGTGAAGCTACAGCCTCTAAAAAAATTGTTGGCTTTCCTGATCCACGTGTATATTGACCTTTCCATGCTGTGGGACAATTCTTCCACTCCCAATGCATACAATCAATGCTCCCTATCATCCCGGGAAATCCGCGTAGCTCTCCAATATCGAGTAGTCGTTGAAGATCTTCCGGCGTGGGTTTTCTTAGATACTCATCTCCAAATAAATCTATGATTCCCTGAGCAAAATGTTCTAAGCATAAAAGCGCGGTGGTCTCGGCCAGTCGGAGGTATTCGTCGACCGCATCAGCTGGGCAACCATATGCCATCATACGAATTGCGGCTGTTGCCTTTTGTAACGCGGAGTGGCCGAACCTTCCAGTGGCATCTCTTCTTTGTTGAAAGTATGGAACTTCAGCGGAGAGTCGATCAACAATACGAATGAACAAAGGTTTGTTCATTCGAAAACGGCGTCGAAACATGTGAGAAGGATATGTTGCATCTTCACTAAAATAATCGTTCCATAACTGCATGTGCCCTTGTTCTCGTTGTCTTTCGATATAGGCTCGTTTGTTTTTTGACCTTGGTGCTTCTTGACGATTTTCATGCTGAATGAGGAGTTCGTCGAATTTTTGATCAAAAATTTGATCGAATCTCTCATCAATGTCTTCGAAACTATAAGAAGAAGAAGATGCCATTTAGAAAATTTAAAAAGAAAATGTAGAGAAGCTTTGTTTTTTGTCTTGTTTTCTTAGAAAATTTTAAGTTTGTTTGTTGCATTTGCTTTATATCTCTCTCGGGTGCTTGTGGTTTTATAGATAAAACATAAATTTATAAAGACAAGAACAGAAGTAGTTACAAACGTGAAAATGTTCACAAGTTGTTGTAACAACTTATTGTCTGTTTGTGTCACATGAACAAACCTTTTACAACATCCCATTTGGGAGTTTTTGACATGACTACTTCTCCATGGATCCTGTAAACTTGAAGAAGCTTCATATCATTTTTAAAGCTTAGTAAGAAAAGTCTCGAGGTTTGTATATAGATGAAACATAACAATACCCGGGATAGAGAGGCATGAAGAGAGGAAAACGAGAAAGAGCTTCACAAGCTAAGGTTCTTATATGATGCTTGTAGTCTTCATCTCTGCACATAGAGCTCATATTTTGTCCCTCTTCTTCCTCATGTTCATGCTTAATGTTCTTATCAATATAACTACCACTGCAACAGCATCCTACCCATTCAATAAACCTGCGGATTAGTAACGGAGTTAGAAACTACTACGGTGGATTTAGAAACCAAGAGAGCAGACATGTAATATCAATCCATGAGATAGATGTAGAGTTTAAGACAAAACACAAGCATTAAAAAAATTTAGCAGTATTGTCAAATCTGAAACACAATAGAATCTCAAGACAGACTTAAAATAAATCAGAGAAACTTGGAAACAGAACAGAGAAACAGAGATTAAACATCAAGACTATGCATGAAAACAGAAGTTTGCTACTGAAACAAGACATGTAAAGAGAGATTCAACAACGAACAAAGAAAGGCCAGTACTTGGAAGGATCATCGCCGAGTTTCCAGATAACGCAAAAGTCCCACTCTCTAGAATCAACGAAAAGTCGAAGAAACTCCTTTACTCTCTCACCACCTCTCATCATCTCTCTCTAACTCACTCTTCTGCAAAGAAAAAGAAAGCCAAACAAAAAGACTGAAACTTTTGTGATCTCGTTTGCTACTGAGACAGATTCGTCTCTAGAGAAACCGATCAACATCGACAACATCGATGGCGAAGAGAGGACTCTTCGGGAACAGAGAGACGAAGACAGAGATAATCATCTCCTCCCCCACACCTATCACCATCGATTTCCAAAGAATCGTCGGTGAGAAATTTGTCTGAGAGAGAGAGAGAGGAGAAAACAAAACTTTTGTTCCGAGATCGAAAAAGAAGAAAGTAGTCACCGTTTTTCAAACCTATCAGAACCTGCCACGTATGGGGTTATTACAATTTCTACCGCTCTCTCCTAAAGCCGCGGTTCTGTGTGTTTTTTTCTTTTTTCATTTATTTTTCCCCTTTTATTTGGAAGAACCCTTCACTATTACCCCCGATGGATTTGGTCTTAAATCCTGATTCTGCACTCGTCTCCATGAATATTACACCAAAATAACTAGCTTTTTCTGCCCCTTCTTCTGTCGACACTTGCCTATCAAATGAAAAAAAAATTCCACGTGACTTATTTATTCATGCATGTGTTATTTGTTTTTCTTAGGTGTATCATTGGTATTGATCAGTGCCGGTCCGGTGAATCTAACGGCCAGAAGCAAAAACAAATAATTATGGGCCTGTAAAAAATGTGTGAGCAAAAGTTTTCAAGATTTGTGGGCAGGTCTAATTTCGAATTCACCACCTTTGTTTCCCCTTTCCAACACAATTACTACTATGCTACTTACGAGTGGGCACTTTATCCGATACCCGAACTCGTACCCGAATCCGATCCGAAATATCCAAACTGAATCGAAGTAACAAAATACCCGAATGGATATTGAGTTAGTAGAGATTGGATATTCGAACTCGAACAGGTAATACCCGAACCCGAACGGGTATCCGAAGATAACCGAACATATGTATATATACCTAATTATTCTTAGTTTATTTGTCTCATTTTATTAAAAAATATTTATATTAATGTTAGATATAATTTATGATCATATAATATACATATAATTGTAAAAAATTAATTTGTTGCTCATTTAAAACGTATATTAAGCTTTTTATTTCATATTTTAAACAAAATTTGCATCCAAAATTCAAAAATAACAACCAAAATAATGATTTTATTTTCAATAATATATTTTCAAACTTATTAATCGTCTAACTTATTAAACATTTTAAAAACAGTTAATTTAATAGTTAAATTTTAAATACATGAAACTTAAGTAATAAAAAATTTGAAATTTTTCTTTCAAAATCTAAATATCCGAACCCAATCCGAAATAACCAAACCCGAACTAAAAATATCCGAACCCGAACCGATATATAAAAATATCTGAATGGGTTCTAAATCCCAATATCGAAATACCCGAAAATCCGAAATACCCGACCCAAACTCGAACGGGTACCCGAACGCCCACCCTTACTTATGAAAACTGCTAAATTAAGGACCGATAAAAATACATATAATATTTTGAGGCCAGAAGCTTAAGCTTCCAATGCTTGGTGTCAGGGTCGGTACTGATAGTATCTGATGTTACTAAGTCAAGTTGTGTCTTACCTCGTATCAAAGAGATCGATTTTGTTACCCACCAGAAAAATTACAACATTGTCTCTCTCTCTACGAACAATATTCTCAACTAACTTCCAGGCACTCGAGAATGACTTCCTTTCTGTACGTTGATAAAATAAACAAAGATCACGAGGGTTTACATACCACTTCTTCATAACCAAAGAAAACTTGAAGGTATAAAGCTGAAAACTTTTCATAGAAGCCTTACGTGCAACATCATAGACAATTACAGCAACAGAAGAATCCTGTATCAGAGCTTGATACCTTACATTCTCGGTAGTATCCCTGTGAATTATAAATTCAGGATTACTGAGACGCCCATATCACACACCATAAAATGCATGACTAAACCAAATTATAGATGTATCACACTAGTGAATATTCCATAGTATCTTATACAATAAAGGAGACTTTTCTCCCTTCTCCTTCCTCCACATCAGCTACAAGTATGGGGGCAAAAAAAGACACGTGGCTTTGTCTTAGTCTTCTTCTGACGAAAGTTTTAAACTATGGGCTTTTTGCTAGATATTAGGTAGTGTTTTTCCGATGTTGAGGCCCACATGTAAATAGGATTGCAACAGTCTCCATCCATTTAGGTCTCTTATACCACAACGCAAGATGGAGTTAGCAAGAGACAAAGCGAAGACGATAAACCAAATCTGGGTATTTTCTCATTATTATAGATCACTTCTTTCTTTTTCAGTTTCTCAAGATTTTGCATTCTGCTCATATGTTACTATGTTAGTAAGACCAGTTAATATTGTATGTTTAGATAAGCACTGGAAATGGAGAAAGAAGAAAGGGAGGACTCCAGAATTGCATGAAGCCATATGTACGTTTCTTACGGTTTTGATTTTTTAAGCTTTAATATATTAGTGATCTGTAGTGGATCATATCTTTAGTTATGGCGTGACACTTTGATAGGACTAATAGGAAAATTATACTGTAGAGACGGATGTGCCTTTTTTAATCAAGCTGGTGTAGTGGCTTTTTTCAAGAAAAATCTGCACAGGTTCTGCAACACTATATGTTGAGAGAAAATAAAAGAAATATGAAGTCTTCTGTTAGACATTGAGAGATGGGTAAGTTGTGTTTTTTCTATAACTTTTCTCTATATTTGCCTCCAGTCCCCTCACTGCGCTGCCATTAACATCTGCCCTTTTGTGTATGAACAGAAAAATGGAGGTTCACATGTGAGTGGAGATCGTAAAAGGGACAGATTCTCAAAGGCTTTCGAGTTCTTGCCTGAGATCAACACTCTAATGATTTATCAGATCCAAAATATCTGCTCTTAGAGAATTCCTGCAGCACTGGGGATGATCACAGCCGTCACAGAAGGAGTTCCGATCGTTTCTTAAGCAGAACAAGAGTCTTACAGAATTGAGGCTCTAAATAAAGGGGCTAAAGACAAAGCAATTGTGTATGTTGCAGCTGAACTTTTGAAGAACAAGAGCTTGCAGGGTTTTTATGTTAATGGAAACCGTTTCCAGAGCGTTGGTGTAGAGGATTCCTTTACCCGATTTGAAACCCGTCAGTGTAGACATACTGTTGTCATATGGCTTCTTCGTTTCTAGGAAGAGAACAAGAAGTTGCTCCGAAACATCATCATTGTGAGGAAGCGGATGTACAGAGCAAATTTAAGAAATATCAAGCCAGGAAGAAGCTGCCACATCAATGACCTTGAAAACTGTTGCAGGACATGCTACTACAAGCAGATGAGAAAGTTATGGGCTTCAATCTGAACACACCATAGCTTCCATTTCCCTGCAACATCTCACATACCAATTTTAACATTTTTTGCTTTTACTAAGTTCAAATAAAATAATTTTCTTCAGCTTCATATCGAGTAACAATTAGTATTAGTTAACTTTGTACCAAATTACAAACTGAAATTATGAAGCTCAGTGATCTGTAAAATATTTGTATGACAAACAGATAAATACATCTAACATAATTTCTTTTTAATTAACGAATCTCCAGTTGGAAAAAAATTTGAGATGAAGATGCATACAAAAATGGAAAAAAAAATATCAATTTAATTAGACAACAGCTTCCTCGGACCAATCCACTTGACTCGAATATAAAGCGCAAACCCTTTCTGAAAAAAATGAAAAATAAATCCAATAAAAAAAAGCTATAGTTATTCGGTAATAGAACTAATGTATGCGTTAAAAATATCACAAAACCATGAATGCATTCAGAAGAAAAAAATTTCCAGTACATCCCATGTTTGTACCGAAAATGGGGGTGTACCTCCGCACAATACCTTCCTATAACCCTCGGTAAAGTATAACAAAACACTAATATTAAAAAAAAAAAAAAAAAGCGAAATGCCACCACAGACCCTTCTCACTCCTCGAAAATACCTTTGGAGATATACATTCTGACAACATCTCCAGAGTGCCATTTCTTCCAGAACTACCGTATATAACATCATACAAGGTATTATACCATGCAAGTTAAATGATCCCAAAGACTTTGACACTTAATATAATGACATCTTAGACATGCAAAGTCCAGTAGAAAATAATGGTTTCACAAATATAGCTAGCATTTTCAAAGCAAAGTAATATCAAGTAAAGTCTAAAAATGTAAATAATTCCGCGCGAAGCGCGGACAAACCACTAGTATATTTATATACCATAGTGTCAGACTAAGACTCGTATCTACGAGTTTTATTGCTTTTGATGACCTGTCAACCCCATGAGTAGCCTGCCCGCAGACAAAAAAAAACATAACAAAGGATTACTCATCCAGATCTCACAGACACATCAAACAAAATAGGTGTAGATCGATTAGGATGGATTGCTTTGAAACTTCATAAGCGGGATTGAATCTGTCGTGCATGAAACGAGTGATGATGCTGGTCTTGCTAACGGATGAATCTCCAAGGAAGAGAACGTTGAACTTGGCTACAAGTGTCTTGGACACCATTTTTCGCTCGTGAGGATCTCTCTTCACCTAACGATAGAGGTGTTATAGATATGAGAGTTTTTGGACAAGCAGGTTTAAGTTAAACGCGTTTATATAATGGCTCTAGGCGCCAAAAGTAACTTTTGTTAGTAGAGAAAATTAAAAATACTTAGATCTCTTACATTTTCTTTTTACAACAAACGGTTATTTTATTACTCAACTCAGATCTCTTACATTTATATTGGTTAATTTGCTTAGTTATAGATTAAACTTTGTATAAATAATATTTTTTTTGTTAATTTTACTTGATTTGGTATGTTATATATATTTTAATAAAATATGATATAATCATTTGTTGCCAATTCATTATGAAGATCTACTTTTTAAAACATCATCAAATGAAGCTATATAGAATCTCGATACTTTCATTATACAACTTTTGTAACTAGTACTTTATGATAAATACTATTTTGTAGGATTTATGAGAACATCTATAAAATATATTTCTGTACGATTCATAATATTCACAATTAGTATTTTGACAGAATAGAATGTTTGTGTTGTTTCTATTTTTTTGTGTTACTTTGTTTAACTAGGTTCATAGCTCCGCGCAAGCGCGGAGCCGGAGACAGTGATGATGCGTTATGATGTTTTATAGATGGGATTTTGTCATTTTTTTGGACATTTTTTTGTTTGGGGTTTAACCGAAAACCCGATTGAATTTAGTTGGTATATGAATGAGTGAAAATTCATATGCTTTGAAATATTCATATATTATTTTAATAATGATTTTCTCGAATATTTGTGTTATTAGTGCTTTTATGTCTAGGATGGGTGATTTATTATGTTGTTATTGTCTAATTTGTAGGTTGGTAGTATATTATTGTTAAATAATGAATTAGCATTTAAAAAATAATTAAGATTTTATTAAATTATACAAAGAAATATAGTTTAATGGATTGAAGAGAAAAAAATGAAACATGTTTGTTAAGGGGTTGTGTGGAATGTTTAGAGATCAATATTTATTAGTGAGTAAAGACCTGTTTTTATTTACAGATAAGAGTGTTTGACGAATTTATATGTGTTCGTATTTCTACATTTTTTTACGAATTAATTGGATCTTAATGTTATTAGTGAGTTAATAACCATATGTAACCAAATATAGGTATTTGTTACTATACAACTATAATATGGGAACGAAGAAGAAATAATTTTGTTATTCGAAAAGAAATATAGTTTGTTNTTTTTATTTACAGATAAGAGTGTTTGACGAATTTATATGTGTTCGTATTTCTACATTTTTTTACGAATTAATTGGATCTTAATGTTATTAGTGAGTTAATAACCATATGTAACCAAATATAGGTATTTGTTACTATACAACTATAATATGGGAACGAAGAAGAAATAATTTTGTTATTCGAAAAGAAATATAGTTTGTTATTTTCAATGTGCCATGACATGTTTTGAAAATATATAACTGTAGTTTAATAAATGCTAAGGCTTCGTATAATTATATACATGTATGACTAAGATAGTTATTTTTTTTTTATATTTGTCAAAAATATTTTGTGGTAGTTTAAAAATGGGAATGGTAGATTAAAAAGTTTAGTCGTATAGGATTCTATTCGAACACAATGAAAATGTAGTAGCTGGGTTTTAAATGATTGGACTTGAAATTTGATGAGTCTTGAGTCTCAATTTAGATCTGAAACTGGATTGTTTACTCGCCCTTTTTGTTTCTCCTCGTCATCTTCAGTAGTGTGACAAGCTCTTGTGATTCTTGGTCTGATTGTGTTTTTAGTGTGTCATTTTGTGCAATTATGGTTTTTCTATAGCAACATGGAAGAGAGATTAGCTCACCTTAGTTAAGGCTGTCTCCATCGCATTCCTTACTCAGTGAACCTCTGTTGATTCGGTGTTCTCGGAACCTGCAATAAGAAGGTTTGAATTTGTTGTATGACTTTATTTCTATTATTATTAGTTTTGTTTACTAAAACCCATACTGAATGATTTGAGGTTCTATATATTAATTTGGTTGGTATGGCTTATGTTTACTTTAACATGACAGAGAGACTTGAAAGTTGCATGACGGATGCCGGTGACGCTAGTTTTAGGAACTGGAGAAGGAGAGAGAGACATTTTCTAGAAGATGGTTAAAGTTAAGAGGAATAGATAAATTTTGTGGAGATGCACATAGGGTTCATCAAAGATGAGAATCATATATATATATATATGATGGGCTACAAATCAGGAACATTTATGATCAAGCGATGTAAGATGGGGAGATGAAAAGTTCACCGGTGAAAAAAATAGATTACGAACAGACACACGACCCAACTCTATAACTCAGACCTGTATGAGACGATGGTGAAAGGAATCTTAACTCATTTTAAACATTAACGGTTTACAATATGGGAAAACTGTAACTGTTGTAAACTTGAAGATTTTCTTCATATAATATGATGAATCCCAATTAAAAATGAAACTCATAATACACTTCCAGGCCTGAACTTTAAAGGAGGCCATAGATGCAAAGGCTTCTGGCTAAATATATATCAGTTTCGGCCATCAATGTACAAGTTATCTTGTAGTTTAGTGGTAAGAATGTTAGTGTTAGTTTCTTAATAACTCGGGTTCGAATCATATGTTTGACATTTTTTCAGATTTTTAAAGTGGGACCCACCTAATGCTGATGTGGCGCGTTGAGGAGTCTTGAAACTCAACTATTATAATATAGATTAGTAAGGAGAAAAGCTATATAGAATATGGATACTTTCATTGTACAAGGAGTCACTTGGAAGCATGACATGCGATCACAATTTCTCTTCTTCTCACATCTTTTCTTCTTTTTTTATGCATTCTTAGAGCATGATTAACCCTTCTTCTTTTCATGTATTTTTAGAGCATGATTAACCCATAATTTTTAGAGTGTGGTTCTTAGCAGAAATTAAGAAACTGTTTCTTAAATTTTAACTAAAAAATTAAGAATCGGTTCTTAAATAAGAACTTTAACTTCTGCTAAAAATCCCACTATAAGAATTCCGGATTAATCATGATTTTATAGATGACAGAAAACGAAAAACGTGAGAACACATTTTTGGGAGAAAACACGTTCACAAACACGGTTATGCAAGCACGGTTGGGCTGCCAAGGCTGATGCTTGCTAATGAATGATTTCATGACATTGATCTTTTATTTTATTTTTTGAAAAGAAGAGAGATAAATGCAATTATTTGTGTGTTTTCAAAATAACAAATCTCTACATAACAATTAAATCCTTACAGTACATTTTCACTAAATTCCTCACTATAAAATCTATCAAATACTGAATAACACTAATTTGTTTCAAAAAAAATTGGATAACACTATTTTTTTTAAAAAATATGATGAAATACATAATTAAGTAACACAAAACTTACAGGAATTGATAAAATGCATAATTGAATAACATTAGAAAAGACAACAAAAAAAAGAATAACATTAGAATTTAATGGAAACTATAATTCTTTCAAATTCTATCAAACTTTTTTTTTTTTTTTTTGAAACAAATTCTATCAAACATCTAAATCCAAATAAAAATGAAAGAAATCCAAGGATAGATACATGGAATTCGCTGAGAGAGTGAACAAAAAAAAAAGTTACACAGTTAAAACCCGTTTCAGGCTACAATACATAAAGCCGGCCTGCTGAATTAAATATAGCCCTAGCCGCAAGTCGCAACCAACAAGCCCAAAGTGAACCACCACCGAGAGATATGCTTAGAATCAAATCATAGATTAAGTATCCTTAAGTCTCCACAAACCGATCGCGAGCAAAAGGCATCACTCAGATCTCTCTTCCGCCATGGGAGTTCCAGCGTTTTACAGATGGCTCGCCGACCGATACCCCAAGTCTATAAGCGACGTCGTTGAGGAAGAATCGGGTGTAGATATCACCCGACCTAACCCTAACGGCTTCGAATTCGATAATCTCTACCTCGACATGAACGGTATCATCCATCCTTGTTTTCACCCTGAAGGAAAGGTAGTAAAAGTCTCTTCACTTGCTTAGGGGTTTTCAGCTGCTTAATCATCGATTTGTTGTATGAGAAATGAATTGTTATTCCTTAGAATTGAATTGGATTAGATTAGATTGCAAATTGGATGCTAATTGCAGTGTTGCCGTTATTTTATTTCCATAAAGATTTTTCCTAGTTAAATCACATTTTTTAGCATTATGAGTTAGCTATGCTGATGTTGATAAAAAATATATAGTTATGCTGTTATTTTATTTCCATGAAGATTTTTTCTAGTTAAATCACATTTGTTTAGCATTATGAGTTAGCTATGCTGATGTTGATAAAAAATATATAGTTATGCTGTTATTTTATTTCCATGAAGATTTTTTCTAGTTAAATCACATTTGTTTAGCAATATGAGTTAGTTATGCTCATGTTGATAAAAGAAAGAAGTTGTGCTGTTAATTTATTTCCATGAAGATTTTTCTAGTTAAATCACATTTTTTAACTAATTAGATGAATTGTATACAAGTGCAGCCTGCACCGGCAACATACGATGATGTATTCAAATCAATGTTCGAGTATATTGATCATCTATTTACTTTAGTGCGTCCCAGGAAGCTTCTTTATTTGGCTATAGGTGAGCTCTTTGCTTCCTTCTGTCTCTTTCACTCTGTGAGATGTGTTTTGATTTAATAGTATTGATGTTGTTGTAGATGGAGTTGCACCAAGAGCAAAGATGAATCAGCAGCGTTCTCGGCGATTCAGAGCTGCAAAGGACGCAGCAGAAGCTGTATCTATCTCTTTGTCTTTCTCTTTTTTTATATTTTAGTCATGGTCTTTTGTAGTTGTTGATACTATATATCTGGTGTTGAATAGGAAGCTGAGGAAGAGATGTTGAGGCAAGATTTTGAGAATGGGGGGCAAATCTTGTCTGGTAAACAGAAAGCAGAAACCTCGGATTCTAATGTCATTACTCCTGGGACCCCGTTTATGGCTGTACTCTCTGTAGCTCTTCAGTATTACATTCAGTCTAGGTTAAATCGGAACCCTGGTTGGAGATTTGTTAAGGTCTGATACCGCTCATCGAACTTAGCAATGTCTTTTTAGTTATGGTATTCAAGTTAGTTTTTTTCCCTAAGTTTTGATGGATTATTATTTGTAGGTGATTCTCTCTGATTCAAATGTTCCGGGGGAAGGAGAACACAAGATAATGTCATACATTCGTCTACAACGTAATCTTCCTGGTTTCGATCCAAATACGCGGCATTGTCTATACGGTCTGGTTAGTATCAACCCACTGCGTAGTTGTTTTGTTTCCATTTTGCTTGGTAAGATATTGGTGCTTCTTCCTACGAATTACTGATTACTTATTGCCAAGAGCTATATGTTATTGTGCAGGATGCAGATTTGATAATGCTCTCTCTAGCCACACATGAAGTTCACTTTTCAATCTTAAGAGAGGTAGCTGTTCTCCATCCCTTTGCTCTGTATTTTCTTGATACTCTGTCAATGAAATGATGGCTCGTCTTTCTCACTCCAGGTTATCACTTACCCTGGCCAACAAGAGAAATGTTTTGTGTGTGGACAAACTGGTCATTTTGCTGCAGATTGCCCTGGAAAATCAGGTACTGCAAATGCAGCATCTGATGTTCCAATCCACAAGAAAAAATATCAGGTTTAAGTAGTTTGCTTTGTTATGCTCAAAGTATCTTAATTACTGCATTTGAACATCATGCCATTTTTTAAAACTTTTGGAGCTTTCTCATATCTGTCTGATGTAATGTGTTTATAGTTCCTGAACATCTGGGTGTTGCGAGAATATCTGCAATATGAATTGGCCATCCCAGATCCTCCTTTCACCATCAACTTCGAGAGGATTATAGATGACTTTGTATTCCTTTGCTTCTTTGTTGGCAATGATTTCCTGCCTCATATGCCTACATTAGAAATTCGAGAGGTATGTATGTTATGGAATCTTTTCTTTCCTTAATACATTTGCTGTTATACACATGATTGCTCTGCTGATTGTAATATTAGCCGGACGGAGAATCAGTATCATGCATTTAAATGCCGTCTGAGGCATTTTACAAAATAGTCTTTAGCTTAATTTGTTTCGTCTTTTTGTTTCTTTACGACTTCAGGGGGCTATAAACTTGCTGATGCATGTTTACAGAAAGGAATTTACAGCTATGGGAGGCTATCTAACCGATTCTGGTGAGGTACGCTATTTGGTTTCTTTACCTTCCCTCACAAATCATTCTGCTTCTCGTTTTTTGGTGCCCTATTTCGTATGAGCTGTAGAGAATGGTTACTTATCTTTGTGTAACTACTTTGAGTTGCTTTGTCTGCCTCGATGATAACTAATGAAACCCAAACTGCATTATTTCTATAAATTGTGTTGTCTTTTTTATAATACATTATTAACAATCTTCTCTTTTATAGGTTTTACTAGATAGGGTAGAGCATTTCATTCAAGCTGTCGCGGTAAATGAAGATAAAATATTTCAGAAAAGGACGCGGATAAAACAGGTATTCTTAACTAATTCCATACTTCCTCTTATGCAACCAGTTGAAAGGTTTAGAAAAGTAGGGTACTCATACCCTTAGAAGGCCCTAATGACTGGTCACATGCCTAATCAATGTTGGAACCAACATGCGTTTGGCACTGCTGGGTCTCACTACCCTATTGGTGATACCTTTCTAGTTTCAACATTCTACACTGTTGCGCTGTTTCTGTGTGGTAGCCTCCGATGCGATTTGGATGGATCTCTAGAATAGGCCAATCCAAACCTCGTGCAGGTAGTGGATAGAAGTCACCCCTATATGCTAGCTTTTGAGTGAACGGTTTTCTTACTAGACAATAACTAGCTCCATTTCTAATCAATGGGTTTGGATTGTGTTCTACCGTTATGTTCAAACTGCATAAGTCGTGGCTAACAGTGTGCTAATGTCGGTATCAGTCAATGGAAAACAATGAAGAAATGAAACAAAGATCAAGAAGAGGCCCATCCGAAATACCACCTGAACCGATAGACGATAAGGTAAAATTGTTGCAACGTTCTCTCAGTATGAGCCTGCGAGCTGGAGAAAGTTCTATCTCTTTATTACAGGGAGAATTATTTAGGAGGTACACCTCAAATTGCTCTTTCTTTTGTGTAGATTAAGCTAGGAGAGCCCGGCTACAAGGAGAGGTATTATGCTGAGAAATTTAGTACGACCAAACCAGAGGAAACTGAGCAAATCAAACAAGACGTGGTGAGTTTTATGTCAATCGACTTCTCTGTCACCCTTTTACTGATTTGTTATTATACGTCTAAAATGGAATAAAGGTTTCGTCAGTCATGTGCTAAATGTGTTTTGGTGCGCATTTAGAACTCTTGACATCCCATTAAGTCTCTCATCCTGACGATTTTTGACTTTCAAATTTAGCACTACACAGCTCTTTATCTTTTAAGGAGCTTTATTGCGACATTTGAACTAGTTTCTTGAAATGACTCCTGAGACAGTTTTAGAAGAACGTGAAACTGTCATCAAGTCTATTCACCTACTTTATCTTTTAGGTACTAAAATATGTTGAAGGTTTGTGCTGGGTTTGCCGGTACTACTACCAAGGTGTATGCTCCTGGCAATGGTCAGTCTGACTAAGACGTTGATGTTAATACTAAGTTGCAAATTTCAATTCAGGTCTGACCCTTTTTTCTAATCGTTTCAGGTTTTACCCATACCATTATGCCCCATTTGCTTCAGATCTTAAGAATCTCTCTGATTTGGAAATCACATTTTTCATTGGAGAGCCCTTTAAACCTTTTGATCAATTAATGGGAACCCTGCCGGCTGCAAGGTTCTTTCCTTTTAGTTTTGTTGGAACCTTAATTATTATTATTTTTGGCGCCAGGAGTAATGTGAATTGTGTTTCTTGGTTTATGCAGCTCAAATGCTCTGCCTGGAGAATACCGGAAGTTGATGACTGATCCCTCATCTCCGATCCTTAAATTTTACCCTTCTGGTAATTGTTGATGCTGAATTTATTTCCATGGTTGTGTGCAATATATTTTTGGTCAATAGTTGATACTCATTGACGATCATTTTATTAACAGATTTTGAGATTGACATGAACGGAAAGCGCTTCTCTTGGCAGGTTCATAGTTGTCTGTATTCTTTGCGTACAGTGATAATGTTATATCACGATGAGACTGTTTATTGTGTTCTTAAATTTTGATGTGTGTTTCGCACTTACTGTGATCCAGGGTATTGCGAAACTTCCTTTCATTGAGGAGAAGTTATTGTTAGCATCTACAAGGAAGCTTGAAGAAACGCTAACGGTTTGAACTGATTCTTCGCTCGAAATACATATACATATCGTTTGGTTAAACCTACATACTCTCCAATGAAACCATCTTTTTATGAAAGATAAATTCTTGGACTTTTAGGATGGTTTTTGTTAGCTATTAAGTAGCTTTACAGCTTAGATTGCTCCAGCCATCAGTTTTAATGTCAGTGTCTAGTGGTAACTAGAATTGAAAATGATTACTTTTATTTACGTATTCAATATGGGAATCAAACTCGTAGGTGGAAGAACGGCAACGCAACAGCGTGATGCTTGATTTGTTATACGTACACCCCACTCATCCACTGGGCCAGCGGGTTATGCAGTACTACCACTTCTACCACCAGTTGCCACCAAATGAATGTCTTCCATGGATGATTGACCCGAATGCTAGGTTAGCTTTAATTGGCTAATTCAATAATCGAGCTTGTTCTTATCCTCGATTGTCTTTTATTGCAGCCAAGGGATGAACGGTTTTCTGTGGTTTAGTGAAAGGAATGGTTTCCAACCTAGAGTTGTTTCCCCTGTCAATGGCCTCCCATGCATTGAGCAGAACCGAGCTTTGTACGTTTCTTGTACCTGGCAAGTTATGGTCAAGTACAATTATGATTTACTCAGTTTTTTTTTTTTTCTTATAATCTTTTCAGAAATGTTACATACTTGAATCCTGCCAAACACTCTCACATCCCAGAACCACCAAGAGGAGCTATCATTCCGGAAAAGGTATGTTGCACCAAAGGAGTAGTACTTGAACAGTTTAGTTCATCATTGCATTTAAAGAAATGATAATTTTGATTTAGTGTTTTGAAGAATTTATTAGACTTGTTATCTCGAATGTCAATGTTATCTTAATAGTTTTTTTTTGTCTTCGCTCTCACCAATCTATTATCTATCTACTGAATATTAATTGCAAAACAAGTGGATAGATATTCATTGTGGAAGTTTAAATTTGCAGATCTTGACGCAGTTAGATATAAAGCCATTTCCTCCTTTATGGCACGAAGACAATAGCAACCGACGCCGACAAGCCCGAGATAGGTAAGTGGGTTTTACTGGCTGATATCTTGCATATCATAGTGTGAGCTACTATTTTCTTAAAAGAAACAAAAACATATAATAATATCTATGGTGCAGACCCCAAGTGGCTGGTGCTATAGCGGGACATTCACTGGGAGAAGCAGCTCATCGTCTGATCAAAAACACCCTTAATATGAAATCTTCCTCTGGTTCGGCTTCAGGATTAATTGACCCAAACTCATACAACCGAAATATACCGGGTAGCTATCATTACGGTGGACCAAGAGCAGCGGGGGCCTCTTCTTACAGGAAATCATATGGCGATGATTCGAGCTACTACAATTACGGAAAGTATAACAATAGTCCTCAAGGAATGTACAACAACGGTCCGAGATATCCTAGTCCATCGCCAGACTATAACCGGAACTACAACAACTCCATAAAACAACAGAACCGTGGTGGAATCAGAGCTGGTTCATCGATAGAAGATAACGGCAGAAGCAAACAACTGTATTCGAGTTATACAGAAGCTGCTAATGCGAATATCAACAACCCATTGCCATCACCGCCAACACAATGGGTTGGTACACCGCAAGGTGGGAATTTCAGCGGTGGATACTATAGGGAAGGAGTTGGGCATGGTGAGATGAATGGAAAGAAAGTGATTTATCAGCCTAAGACACAACAAAGTCATCGAGGCTCAAGTGAATGAGGTTGATTAGGTTTCGTCTGTCTGTCGATAAAGTTTCTTTCTAGTCTTGTCAGAGTCTGCATCTTCTCCCATATTTGCGCTTGTTATTTATTCTCTAAAATTTCTTGCTGAAGGCAAATGTATAATGTACGTTTTGACAGTTTTCTTACACTTTTTATTTAATTAAGTGTTATTTTGACACTTCAGACGAATCACAAAAAAATGTTGGTTATTCACTTATTTGTTGTTAAAAAGTGATTACCAAAAATTTAGAAATGAAATGAATTTTATTTCTGGCTTTTGCGTTATTTGATGGAAAGGCTTATGTTTCTTTGATTCAAAAATCTGACATGTACTTTCTCTCCTTACCTTTGATTGGATGGATTCTCAGAGACAATAAGAGGAACCATATTGGATCAGTTAGGTGGGCCAATATACACAGTGCTTTTCAAGCAGGAGGAGCAGGTTTTCTATTCGCTCGTCAACACACATGGATCATCAAAGGATGGCGTCAAGTAATGGTTTGAGAATGATTGCAAAGGACTTATTGATGTTACCAACAAGACAGAATCAAGCACAGAGTTAGGGAATATATTGATTGATATAAGAGAGTGGGTGTGTTAACTCTCTCAATGCTCTTTGGACATGCGTTTAGGAAAAGGAATCAATCTAACGGATTGCTTAATAAAAAGAGTATGCCTAGAAGCAGTGTTTTCCAAACATTTACTGCACGGCCAAAGTAGCTTCTTAAATATTTATATTTTCATTTCACAATATATTATACTTCCTCTATGTAAAAAAGATACATGACTTAAAGTTTTTACACATAGTAATTCAACATACTAAGTTTTGATTATAAATATAGTATTTATTGTGATTAACTTTTTGTTCCAATTTTTAGTAAATAGAAGTTCATTGAATATTTTTGTAATATTTTTTAGGTTTGTTCTACCGTCGAATATACCTCCGGTTGCTATCTTCTTATCATTGAGCACGGTTCTTGTTGTATTTCGTTTCAGCCCGTAAAATTTTTGTTTTAATATAATCAGTTGGTGTCAAAAAAGAAGAAAAAATTCAACGAAAATAAATTACCTTGGTGAAGCATGAAATAACTCTATTTTATTATGCAAAAATGAGGCAATTCTAACCTTTTGTTTACATGAAGCAAAAACAATAGGGAAATTGCATCCAATGACTCAACAAAAATCCAAAAATAACAATTTAACCATAATCACAACACTCTCTTTCCTTCTCTCTTCTTATCTCTCTTTCAACAAAAACTAGTTTTAATTTTTTTTTTGTTATTTAACAAATAACCCCAAAACAATATGGGAACAAAATAATAGGTAAAGATTAAAAAAAAACAACACAAAAATGCACCAAGTGAGATAGATACCTTTTAATATTCTCTTGAGCAAGGCAAAACATGCAAGGCTGCAAGCAATTCATTACGCTATGTATATGTCCGAACAATAAAGAAAGGAAGCAAAAACCAAAAAGAAAAAAAAAGAAACTTGCAAACAAAGAGAAAACTTTCCAGATTCCGACCATGATCGAAACCGTATTCACAAGCCAGACTCTCACGGGCCTAATCTCCGACAGAAAATCCTTCGAATCCATCACCAACGACTATTTCAAGATCCTAGATCTCGACGGAGACGGAACGCTATCCCCGTCGGAGCTCCGGAAAGGTCTCAACCGCGTGGTGGCGGTGGAATCGGAAGTTGCCTCTGGAGAGGAGACGGATAGCGTGTACGAGGCGATCTTCGAGAGGTTTGGGGAGAATCTGGCTCCGGAGAAGTTCAGGGATTTGATATCTGAGATATTGACGGCGATGGCGAGGGCGTTTGGGGACTCGCCGGTGATAATGGTGGTACATAGCGATGGGTTGATTATGAAAGCTGTTCGTCACGAATCGGAAAAAGGCATGTGAGAGGGTTTTTTTTATTTTTAGTATTATTAATATAATAATTCTGTATTGCGTTTCTGATTGGGATTCTTGAAGTTGTTTACGGTTGATTTTCTGTTCAGTTGTTTCTATGATTTGAAATTTGAAATTAGTGTTGTTTGATTGAACAAGGAGATACTACATTGTAAGTTCCTCACATTGTTTTTACTTAACATCGGATCTGGAGATTGAACGGGTTATTGTTCAAGTAAAATGCTTTGCGGGTTTTGTGTAACAATCATGGTATCTCAATACAACTTTGTTTTTAACTTCTGATACAACTTGTTTCCCATGTTATTGGAATATCTCAAAAATGAAACATTATTATTATTATCATTATTATTATTATTATTGTTATATTTTATTAGTTCTACCTGTATAAACATGAATTTTAGATCCGATTATAAGTTGATTTTGAACAAAATTTCCAAAGTCAAAACTATTACAAAAATTTGTTTAAGCTTTGATTTTTCTGTTCAGTTGTTTTTATAATTAGAACCAACTGAACAGAAAAATCAAAGCGTAAACAAATTTTTGTTATAGTTTGACTTTGGAAATTTTGTACATTAATATCAAATTCCAATTATAAAAACAACTAAACAGAAAAATCAAAGCGTTTTTACTTAACTCATCAAATCTGGAGATTGAACGGGTTATTATTGTTCAAGTAAAATGTTTTGTTGGTTTTATGTCTAGTAAAATGAATCATGGTATCTCTGTCTAAATCTTTTTATTTTATGCTGTGATATGATACAACTTGTATCCTATGTTATTGGATTCATTCTCAAAAATGAAACATTATTTTCTTAGTAAAGAGCGAAATGATAAAAGTTCACCATGTGGTGGTTTGCCAATTATCCGTTGTGACCCTTGTTCAAAAAGTCGCCCGCGGAGGCGATTAATCATCCAAGTTTACGTGATAGAGGTGGACAACTTAGCGAAATGACTCAATTCGGTGGCAATACGCGGTTGACCGAGTAATGAGCGTGGTCGTTGAAGTACAAAACGTGGCCGCATAATGAACAAAATCGCTTTGTACAAAATCGCTTTGTACAAAATCGTTGATTCCTCAGTGAACTCGATTCTTCTCAATTAACTACATGAAAACTCAAATCATAACTCAAGGATCCATGTACGCATTGAATTAAGAACACCGGATGACGCAACACAGAAGTGCAAGATCTTACCTTATTTTTTTTTGTTTTTTGCTTAATTCTTACCTTAGTTTCGGAACCTCATTCTAACAATCCAACTAATGAGAAGCCATTCCGGCGTTTCATTCGTTGTGATAGTTGGCAGAAGCTGATATAGAATTTTTGAGAAGAAAACTTTGGACCTAAACCTATGCATTTTTTTCTGTTTGATAACCAGGCTTGTATTTAGACAGAATTCAAAAAGTAATAGATAGGTTTCTATACCTCGAGAAGAAGAAGAAGAAGAAGAAGAAGAAGAAGAAGAAGAAGAAGAAGAAGAAGAAGAAGAAGAAGAAGAAGAAGAAGAAGAAGAAGAAGAAGAAGAAGAAGAAGAAGAAGAAGAAGAAGAAGAAGAAGAAGAAGAAGAAGAAGAAGAAGAAGAAGAAGAAGAAGAAGAAGAAGAAGAAGAAGAAGAAGAAGAAGAAGAAGAAGAAGAAGAAGAAGAAGAAGAAGAAGAAGAAGAAGAAGAAGAAGAAGAAGAAGAAGAAGAAGAAGAAGAAGAAGAAGAAGAAGAAGAAGAAGAAGAAGAAGAAGAAGAAGAAGAAGAAGAAGAAGAAGAAGAAGAGAGGTCACTGACGTGTAATGTCATTATCTAAATAACACGTGACAACTATATCAATATAAATTTGCATATTGACTCTATAAAGTTTTTATTGTTGGGTATTTAGACAGAATTCTATACTTCGAGAGAAGAAGAAGAAGAAGAGAGGGTCATTGACGCGTAATGTCATTATCTAAATAAAACTTGACAACTATATCAATATAAATTTGCATATTGACTCTATAAAGTTTTTATTGTTGGGTATTTGACCCCAATATTTCAGTGTTTATAGATATGGATAAAAAGAAGTATAATTATATTTTCTGATCAAATTTGGTACATATTTACAAATCTATGAAGCTTGGTAACAATGATGTTTTATACATAAATTTTTGTATTATACATAAAAATAGATGAATATATATATATATATATATATATATATATATATATATAATATAAAAAATTTGCCCCGCGTACTCCCCTATTTTTTTGATTTTTGAATAAATTGCTAGGCCTAATGAGTTTCCGAACAAAAGTTGTGACTAAAACTTAAAAAAAAACATTTATGTAAATATTTTAGAACTTCTTAAAAAGATGTCTAAATTCTCCAAAGATCGTTAAATTATCCATTTTTTTGCATCACATCTTTAATATTTTATAGGTTTATGCATTTGGTTTTGAATGGAACGCAGATCAGAAAATATCTATATATATATATAAAAATATGTTTTCACCCTCTTGGTGAAGCCGCCTAGGATGATATGTTAGAAAGTCGGTTTATGTCGTGTAGAGACGTGTTCCATTTTATATGTGCGCTGCGTTTCATTTATTTCAATTGTATCAAATATTTGGGCCTTCCGATGATCTATTAATTTGAGGTGTAACTATATCTAATATTTGAGTTTTCTGTTGAGTTTATTTGTTTTTGTGTGTATGGATTGTGGTTGATTTAATAAAGGCTTGTAACCTGAATAAGAAAACCCTAGGCTTCTTGCATTGTCATCTCCTTCTTCGTTGTTCAGAGACTTTCATCTTCGTTTAAATCATTTGTGGCATTGAAATACATCTGTTTTTTCTTCTTCGTGATTAATCTTCATTACTTCAATCACCATGATGTAGTATTGAATGTATGCTTTGATTAAGAGTCGGTGAACCTGAGTGTATAAATAGGTCAGTTTTCTTTTTCTTACAATCATCTTATCAATCTGTTTAAACAGCAAAACACATTTTTCTGAGATATAGCTAACTCCCAAGTTTTCCTTTTCGAGTTGAAGTCCGGATGACTTTCTTCGAAAGTTGAAGTTAGACAGCTACGATTTTGGGAGGCGAGAAATGTTAAGCATAGTGGTGAACTCATATCAGTCGATATATGCTTCTGCTTGATTCAAAGGTGAGCCTGTTGTTATACACTTGATAATAATGATGTCAATTGCGGGTGAACTATCGTGAAAATCATAAATTTATTCTTTAATACATTGAAACCTCTATAAATTAATAATGTTGGAATTACACGAAAACTATATTTTTATTAATTTATAGCGATTATTAATTTATCGATATACTAATTGAACCAAAAACTTAATTTGTGACTATAAAATTATATTATTTTGTAGAGAGGTTATATTGTAATTTTATTAGCCATCTATGATCCGTTTTGCTATTCTGATGTATTTCCAATCATTTTTCAGGAAACTCTCATGCCAGCCACCATGAATGCTAACCGTGTTTCAACCTTCCTTCCTCATCTCATGGCGGGAACGATGTAACCTATCGCTGGATTTGATGTGACTCAGTGTAATCCAAACTTCAGGCTGTCTGACTCCTCTCTTTTGGTTTGGTTAAGTGATGCAACCTCCTTGAATGAGTTTATCGAACCGAGTTCTCCGATTACACCTTGCTTCCAGGTAAACATCCCTTTAGTTGTCATCATTATAACTGGGAAATGCTTTTAATACTCATTTTCTTTCAGACATCATTAGGGAGATCACCGCGGTGATGAGTACATCAGTGATCCTCCGGAAGAGAAGAACCGCGCGATGGTGAGCATCAAAATGGATAACTAATTCATTATTCAATATCTATCCCTCCAATTTATTCATATTTATTGTAAATAACATGTTCATCGCATAACGGCATTTTTAAATTTGCAGGGATGTTTGATGTTTCTGTGATTTTGAGTTTGTTCGACTCAAACGCAGTTTCGTTTCACAAAAGACTCGAAGCCATGCGTGGTGATCCAAGAAAATGGTTGGAAGTATTAGTTATTATTCCGATCAAAAAGCTTCTCATCTGATATAAATAACATCTCCAAATATGGCCAATACATTCATGAAATTTTATTATGCAGGTCGTCTGTATCTTAATGCCACTTCAGGAACACACATTTCACTTATTTTAATTAGGAGATTAATGTAGGAGAGAGTTACTTTTACAAGTGGGTAGTCTGATGATTTTATATGCATTAGAATATTTTTATAAAATATTATTAAATTTATGCAGGTTGGTCTTCACAGACATTGGGCTTCCCTCAGCTACTTCACTGCTGAGGGGATATGCTAAGGTTGAGATTCTGACCATATCTGAACATAATGAGTTTATCATCACAGCTCCAACTCAGGTAATACATCTTCCCTTAATAATTTTAAAACTGCATGTGTGGCACCATAGATATGATTCTGGTCATCCTAGATGTATAATGATTTCATATACACTTGGGAAAGTGACCAGCATCAAGATAGAAAAAGGATAGTGGTATGTTGCTTGCTCCGGTTGTACCAAAAAACTGCAGCGCACCATTGTCTACATGGAAGGAAAAACATTCACCTTTCATGGTGGTAAGTTTCGTTATGTTTCTTATATGTCATACAAATAACTATAGTTTATTCGATGTGATCAGGGAGGCGACGGCAACAATGGACCTGCATCGAATACGGGAACAGCCCCGACTGGTTATGAGCAGAAGACTCCTCCCGAGAATGCATCTTTGAAGATGGACAAGAAGGTACCATGGCATAAGTTGTGATAATAATTTCTATGGACGTAATTTTTTATTGTTTTAAATAATGCTACCCCATCAGTTTTCGTAGACGAGTTTGTTATTTTCTTTTTGTTTTCCCCCTGTTTATGGGTAGACATCTATGTTTGCCAGGCGATCTTTCTAATAACTAACTAGATTTTGACCCGCGTTTGAGAAGCGCAGGTTTTATTTTGGTAGTAACAAAATGTATCAAATTATTCTATTTTTATTATATGATAGTTTTATATGTGAATTTTGATGTATATTTAACGTTTTAGTAGGATCTTTTCCTTGAGTTTTACATAACCGAGTCAGTTTGTGATTGAACCGATAATCAAAAAATTAAGTGTTGTGAGACTATGAAGAATTAAAACACATATTAGATTGAAACCAAATTTGGATGCACTACAAGAAAACAAAGCATTTACTAGGAAATTTTACTAGGAAAATTCTTCCTCGTAAAGTTACTAAGCATTTACTAGGATCTTACGAGGAAAGCAAATTTCCTCGTAAGCTCCTCGAAAACTTACGAGGAAAGT